TTTTCACAAGTTAAATTTATTGCTGAGCATATAGGGAGTCCATATATATAAGTCAAATTTATACAAAGACAAACAGACATAGGACAGACAGTGAAACGCATGGAGACAGTAAATGTGAGCTCCATTACACAGTTCCGCAAACTGTTTTCATGCGCACAGGGACCCACATCCCAATTGATTACATCACTCCTCGTTTCTGTGCCACAGTCTGTGCCTCCACACCCCCACCAAACACCCCCCCCATGAGCCTCTGTGGTCAGCAGCGGTCACGTGACCCTGGATGGCGTGAGGTCGTCCCAGCAACGTGAGCTTGATCACCCTAGCCCTAATGCAATCCAAATAATAGAGTGCATTCAGCAAAAAAACAGGGGGCGCCGCTCCTCCTGTGCAGAAAGGGCCCATATGATGATAACACAACAATCAAGTCAGGATTTATGTGTAACACACACACAAGCTAGACTCAGCTTCGGTAGAGCAGTTTACATTTTCTATTTCTTCATGTCCATGTTTCTCACTGCTTTGGTTAACGTTTTGCTTTCTCTTTAATTTTCTTTCAGTATGACAGACTAAACCTGATTAAAGTAAGCATTTCTTCTTGTTTTCATTTGACCCATTCACAATCCCTCGCTGGCCCCCATGAAACCCCCACCTACCCACCCCGGCTCCGGCACTCCACTTCCTCTGTAGCTTTGCGACAGTAGGATCCCCCTCTAATAGTTCCAGTCCATCGTGTCCTTTCCAGTGCCTCCCACCCCCCTGATCTGATCGGACAGTGATTTGTGAGCAGTGTAAAACTGTTTATTTTGAAATGTTTTGAAATCTGACATTCACAGCATGGAATGAGCTTGACATTAAAACAGACACCTGCAACGACAGGACAGGATTTAAAACCATCACTTGCACTTTTATTTTCTGTATGAGGGCTCTCTCTTCTGCTCAATCATTTAACTAGAAGGGCACTTGGAAGGCATATACCTCCGCCAATGCTGGTTGGCCACTTAGTCACCATATTGTAGGTACTTGCATCAAACACATACTGTATACCATGTACACAGAACTGTTCTGCAAGCTGTTAACATTAAACCCAGCGAAAATATCCATTCTCTGATAGACAGAATATTTTGTTACGGTACAGTAACTGAATAAAGATCAAATCCAGATCATCATCCAGATCCACACAAAATGTCACCTGTTTGTGAATATTAGCACTCTACTTATATCTGAAAAAAAACTAAAAAACAATTCCTCACCCTGATTCAGTTCCGCCCCAATATTCACTGGACCAGGGTTTTTGCATAATGTTGCTGAATAACTGACAAACAAAGGCTCCTTGGCGGAGGTTATGTTTAACGGAAATATTTTAGGGTCTGTTTGCCATTATGAGATATTTGTATTTCACACACGTGGTGACATTTAACCTAAATTTATTTTGGTTTTACCGGAGACACAGAAGAGTCTCAGGCAAAACTCTGCTTAGCTTTTGGTTGAAGGTCTCTCTATCTCTCTATACTTCTATCTCTCCCTCTCTTTGATCTCCAATAACAATGAAAAGTCTCTCTCTCTTTCCCTCTGTGTAAACAATGACGTCATACCTCTCACAAACTCACATGCAGTCAAACCCAGTGACACATGCACACCTTATCTAGACAGTGGCCTCAAAGTAATTCCCCTCTCGTGTCTCTGTCACCTTCAAATCAGATTAGCCCACATTAGCTCGGCCATCGTCACAGCCCGGCCTCGGGTCCTGCCGCTGCAGCTGGCTGCTCGCTAACACAGCACACTCTGCGTAACCAAACCCTGTCAGAGGAACAGGAAACCAACACGACCCAGGGGCACATGCATAGAAAAATGATTTCAGGGTTTTGAAAGAAGAAATTCAACTAAATACAAAAGTAGGAGAACCATTGTGAGACTGATTTTCCAACAGGTCAAAACAAGAAAGTGATTAAAACTTAAAACCTTAATCTAGCTCGGAAAAGTCCAAATGTTACACATCGCAAAGTTTAAAATGAAAGTTTTATTATGTTTTACTTTACACTTTAAATGTGGTGCTTTAATTTAATGTAGTGCTGTAATCAGACACTGGATATCACTTTTTATCCCCCTCTTCTCCCACTGAACACCTTCCTCCCTCTGTCACCCTCTGAATGATCACCTGCATGTTTCCCCTCTGGGACTGTTGCTCTCGGACTGTTGGAGCGCAGAGTTTGTTCATGTGGCTGGAAAATGTTGTAATGTCATAGTCATGACTAAGATACATCTCTGCTGCCCCCTGCTGTTATGGAGGTGCAACAGAAATGATTGCAACTGCAACAGAAATGAGTAATGAAGGAATCACCTCAACACCCATTATCATTAACTTAATGTGGTGTCGTGTATTGAATTTTATCTTCACATCTCTCACAAAACTGCTAAGAAGTTCATTTCACTTGATATTAATATGAATTGTTGTAAATGTTATAAAAAACATGTTTTTTTACAAAATTCTTGGTGGACACATTGTAGTTAATGCAGGTTAAATTATAGCCTTTATATGACGTCATCAGTATATATAATGCACTAATGCAGGGTATGGTGCATTTGGTGTGAAATTGCTTTCAGTTTTCGCCACGACAGCAAGCAGATTTGCCTCTGGAATCCTTTTATTTTGAAAGTTTCCTATATTTGAATTATCAATATGTAAAAGTGAGTGAACTGAAAGATAATTTCACCCTGCGTTGACCTCAGACACGTGTCCCTGGTATTTAATTAGTGTGGATAACTTCCTGTGATGTCTGGCAGGAAGGAATGTGAGGTCCAGCTCGACCTTCACACCTGCTGGTACTTGTTATAATCGAGTGTTTCACACCCTCAGTGTGTTTGTCTGAGCCCACAAGCCTTCTACAATATTTACTGTCTTCACATCCTCTCTGTCTCTCTGTCTCTCTCTCCACAGAAGAGCCAAAGCTGGTACAACGTAAGTCCTACTTTGTTTTTATTTACATGTGATTTGGTGCATAGAGTTTAACTGTGTGTTTGTGTGTGTTCATGTTGTGTGGGTGACTCCTGCGAGTGTCCTGGAGTTGTTTTAGTAACGAGTGCCATTCTCGGGATGAAAGGTCATCGTCCTTGACCCTGTTTACTGGAGCACCAGATCCCTATTGTGGGTTGCAGGATTAGCACAGGCTTAAAAGAGCGACAGGTGGACCTTTCTCATGCAGAATGGAAATACAACAGTAGGATTTAAGAAATGAAGATTGGAACACGAACCAAAGTTATCAATACAGAGATGCAGACCCAGCAAAGCCAGGGTGTTGCAGTTCTAAATTTTACCACAAGATGGAGTGCTAACACTCTTTCTCACTACACCATAATTCACAGAAGTTGTCACTGATTAAACATTATATACAAATATTATTTACACTGAATTGATCAACATTGTGGTAACTTAACCCACAAAGTTGACAGAATTGAGAACACCAACCCCAGTTTTTTTTTCTATTGAAGTGTCTTTATTAGACTTTTTTCCCTATTTTATGTTGTTTTATTTCTTTTTTTTTTATTCCCTGTGTGTACACTCTTCCCTTTTCTCCTCAGCATGAAAGACAACACATCCTGAGAGTAAGCATGACTTGTATTCTTGTGCAACCTCGAGTATCTCTCTGTCTCTTGGTTCTCAGAGGGGTGGGATGATGATATCCCTCCTGCCTGCCTGTTACTCATTCCATTGACTTTTCTCAGCGCTGTTACCACCAGATAGCGACGCCACACTTATGTAGGTGACAAATGTCAGATTTTTGTCTCCACAAAGCCCTATACTTCCAATTATGGATTGGTCATCAGATGCTAATGCTCTATTTGCTGCATCAGAAAGAGAGACTGTATTTTTGTGTCAAATGTTCGATGCAGTAACCAAACGTGTAAATGTGGTTTGTTACAGGTGGTAACAAGTGCGCAGAGTTTCTTACTTGTACTAAACAAATCAACAAACCATCACAGGGGCCTCTGGACAAGCCTTGAATGCCTTTTGAGCAGCAGGGGAATGGAGCATGGTGCTTTAAGTCCCAGCATGCCTCCCTCCTGTGCAGCTCTGCATGTCCCAACAAACATGGACCCTGGGACACTTCAGGGTTTTTAGGTTTGAGATTTAAAAAGACAATACAGGGATGTCTGTGCAGAAAAATGAAAACAGAGAAAAGCTGTTGAGTTGAAAAGAGGCTTGGTCTAACAAGTTCAGACAGCTTCTTAATGTCTCTAATTCACTCAGATATAACAAACTCACATTTTCTCATCATGCATAACACACTGACTCTGTTGATGTCTAACACATATAAATGTCATGTTTACAGATAACAAACACAAGTGTACAGGAAATCAGCACCGTCTCTGCTCGTCATCAATTACACTACAAACTTATGGTGCCAACTCCAGTCGCAAAAGAATGAAGCTGTTGATTATCTAATTATTTTTTCATCAATAAATGTCATGAAAAGACCATGAAATAATCCTGGTTATAAATACTGTCTCTGTTTCCACATGTGTTTTATTGCTCTGTGCCACGGAGCCATTTCCATGAACACACAGACACACACATAGTTGTTTATTTTGACAGTCCTAAATGTAACATCCTGCTACCGGAAATACTCACCACTGTTGCGTAGCAAGTGTATTAATCCACCGTTGAAAATAGTCCCCAGTTACCACAGTTTGAGTCACATTTGCTAAAATATAACTTGATTTCATTTTTTATATTCAGTGAGATTATATAATGTTTGCACCCTGGTCACAAATGAGGAGTGTGGGATCATGGTAAATAGTTAAAGTCCCACTCCAGCAGAGTATATCACAGTCCCTACAACTCTTATTGATCTAAAATTATAACACATTGGTGGATTGGTGGATGTTTTATAACAATAAATTTATATATATCGTTATAAAGCATCCACCAACTTAAGTGAATTATTGTACCAGACTAAATTTAGGCTATAGAAGCAAAACCTCTGAATCTACTCGTTGTGAATTCAGCTTTTACCCACAGATTTTATTTACAAACTCTCAGGGCAACACTACTGTACAGATTTACTATATGAGCTGTTTTTGAGATCCAGCTCTTCAGTGGTAATCAATGTGCGTACAGATAAATGTGAAAACATTGTTTTGGTGTTTTAAATTATATTTGTTGATGAATAGAAAAATATAGATTACCACCAGCTTCACCCATTAAAGCAACTGGTTTAAAGTTTTACACCTGCTTCCACTGCAGCTCTGTGAAATAAAGTAATAATACATATAAGTGTTGTTTTGTGAACTGCACTTGTGCAATAAGTGCAATTATCAAACCACACTGACAGGTTTTATTTCTGGCCCATAGGAAATACCGTTGAAAATACGTGGCTTGTTTAGGTTTATGTCATTTTTTACTGTGTGGAGTTTGCACTTTGAATGCAGCACTTCACTATTCAATAGATTTACGTTGGTGAATGTAACTTTTGAATGCACTCCAGTCTTAAAGGGAAACTAAAAAGAAGGAGGAGTCACTGTTTTTAAATGTGCATTGTTCATAAAGTGGTTCTGATATCTTGTACACTCATCCTTACTCATACAATGAATAGTTTGGGCTGATTCTTTGACTTGGCTCTGAGATAAAATGTCTGGTTCGTCTGTCAGTGCACCTCTACGTGGCGATGATGACCTCCCATGGCACTGAAACCACTCTGATTAAAACTCTATCCGTCCTAATGTGAGTTCTGAGCCTGTTAGAGGTTTGCACTGAGGCCATTTCTCTTCCACATACCTCTGAATGTGCCCGTTAGTTCACTTTGCATCTAGAAAAGTTTGTTGTGTTGCTTTCATTGCAACTGACCCACAGGCTCTGTGAAGTTAGTAACACTGGAGGAAAATGCTAACAAACATACGAGGGTCAGACTTCTGCTGAGCAGCAGCGCCCTCTGCAGGCACACGTTACGTGATGATTGATTCTGTTGGGCAATGTTTCTGGTCTATCACATGCTGACTGGAGCTCTGACTGTATAGCCTCACTCGAGCTGTCTTCAGACATGAACTCTGGAAAATGTCCACACAGTGTGGTCCGGATCTTGTCTGTAGTTTTACCTTTCACATATGAAGAACGCAGCAGGAGATTCTCCAGTCAGACGTGCTCACATCAGCACAGAAACCTCTGGTGAAACAACAGTGGATATTCCACATGATCCCCTGAAGCAACAAAGCTGCTGCTGTAACAAATACATCAAACTCTTTTTTAGAACATTGAAGATAAACACTGTTTTTTAATTACCTTTAAGCCTTTTGAACTGTTCACATCATTTCACTCAGATCAATGTTTTTGATTAGACCTCTTATCAAATTAAAATAGGCTGAGATTGCTGTTAACAGGATGGAAACACCTCCAGCCCTCCCCTCCTTTAACACACTAAAATACGATCCTGGTTTACAGTACCAGTCTCCTCCGTCCCCTGATGTTTGCCCAGCAAGTTAATAGTTAGCCAGATCCATAAAGTCTGTATCCACCTCATCACAAGTCTCCTACTGTCACCTGAACGCTGGGTGCCCCCGTCTGTCCCGATGGCCCCTTTCATTGCCTCATTCATGCAAAATGAATTAAATCAGCAGGGACTAAACAATAACTGTTGAACATAAGATGCAACATGTAATTTCGAGGAATGATTTGTTCTGGTGTCAGTTTTAGATTCAACCTCATTCCGCTGGAATTTCTCAGAATCCTCAGTGTGGGTGAGAGGCTTTTCAGAGCAGCATGTGAATGATCGCAACTGTTTTCAAAGAGGATAGAAGATGAAGAGTATTTTCCAAGAATCATTGATATTCTTTTTTCAGCTTTCAGTGTCTGGTTAACAGTGAGGGTTGGGAAACAGTCCAGAGGAAAGATGGATTTGGACTGAGTGTGCATATGTGGGCTGCACATTTGCTTCATCCAGCAGGAGTCAATGAATCAGGAGCTGTAGTAACACTGGTTTTGTTTTTTTATCGCAGCTGGCTCCTCCATCACTATGCCCACCTTCTTGACTCTTGAAATACTTTGAGTTAAGACTAGTGGGAGGACCAAACAGCAATTGTTTGCTAAGCGCTGCTAAAATAGAAGTTGCGATCTCTGCGTCTCTCGCCTGCTCGCCTTCATGCCTTAAAATATTCAGGGATCATTACTTTTGGAACCTTAGACCCAGGAATTCACATGAAATAAAAGTCAAGTAGACAAATAATTACAGCGCGTGTGCCACCACTTCACCCTGAGCAGTGGTACACAAACCCAGTGAAGACCCTGTCAAGATTGATGATGTTGTTTTGCAGGCAAAGGTAACTGGAGGTTATATTCACATCTGCTCTCTGTAACTCGATCACTGAGGCAGAGGAGAGCAAGACGGACTTGACACATACTTCAAGTCAAAACATTCACTCCTCTCTTTTATTCCACCCTATTTTTTTCCTTTTTTCACTACATCTTTGGTTGTATTAGTCATTTTCTCTGCAGTCAACTCGGTTCATTCTTTGCTGGTCATAAACAGGGTAATTACAAGGCATTCAGACCTGGACAGCACACACACACACACACACACACACACACACACACACACACACACACACTTACTAGGAGGAGTATGCTGGTGAAAAAAAGGAAAGAGCTACTGGCATGATAATAAAGGACTTGTTGGCCGGGGTTACTAGAGGGCAACGGCCGTAACTCCTCTCCCTGTGTGTGTGAAAGGAAGCGAGAGAGAGCCAGAGTACGACAGAGCGAGACAAGGATCATGTGGCTCGAGTATGCCGAGTCCACGGCTCTGAACGCTGACGGGGAGCAGCACCCAGAACAGGGGGGTGGATTCTGCAGTGTCCAAACTAAACCGCTGTACTCACCAGCTCTTATTTTCCAAATTTGCTGTGACTGACAAGTCCACCAAATCGAGAGGGAATCCACTGGGGCCCCAGTTTGGAAAACTTGCTTTCAACCAGGCGCAAAAAAAAGGGATCTGGCTCAATGGATGTGGAGCTGGATGAGGACTGCACAATGTCGGACTGGGAGGCCGTGTTGGAGCTGGATGAGGCATTGGCAGGGTGGCTTCTGCAGAGTCCGGCTAGAGGGGAGTGGGGTTGTGAGTGTGGCTGGGAAGCCTCAGACCTTCAGGACCCGGAGTGGGACACTGAGGACATCCCTGCTGTAAGTTGTGAGGAGGGGAGCAGAGAAAACATTGTGGGGAAGTTAGGAAATGTTGTGGTTGGGAACAGCGAACAGGCTTTGTCTTTACTGTACGCTGCTGTAAGTAAAGTTCTGTGGAAATCTGCACCACTAAAAAAAGCAACTGGTTTTGTTATGAGTCATAGCTATTTGAATTCTCTCCGAGCTCTGTGCAGATGCCTGTTGTTTGGAGTGATCATCGGGATACTGTGTGACATGATGTGTAATGTTAGGTGTGTTTTGGTTGTTTCTGGATATCAGCAGTAATATCCATATCCAGTTTTTATCTCTGCACGTTCCTCAAAGACGAGTAGAAGCAGTAACACGTTCTCCTAAACATTTTTTCACTATTTCAACTTCTTGTTTTACAAAGGAAATCTTTTTTTCCACCAGCCCTGAGCCAAAAGAATATGTTTTTTTTTCCCTCTCTTTTGTCTCAGTTATACATCTTGTTACTCTGATGGCAGCAATTGTTTCCTGAAGCTTTGCTGTGGAAGGAAACCATCTGGTACAGACAGTGAGAGCCCTCACTTGGCCACACAGGAGATTTTTACACATTACTCTGCAGATATTAAAGCCTGCAGAAAGAGCCAGAGAGAGAATGTGATCGTATTGAATTCCCCAGTGTTGGAAAGACCATGTTAATCAAACCACTGTGTAGGGTCTTGTTTACTCTTGAGGTTTCTTCAGTTGTTCTTCCCATGGTCAGTGAACAGAAGCCTCATTGTCCGAAACACGCTGTTGTGTGATGCAAATCAGAGAATGTGACTCATTCCACTGTAAATGCTCTACGGCATGTGTTTTGAATGATCTGCAGGCTGACGTTTGGAATTGCGCTTCAAATCATCAATGACTTCAGATGTCGGTCCACGTGCCTCTGCTTGACATAAATCACCATACGTCCATTTCCAGCGCTTGTCAAAACTTCTCACAGATTGAAATGCATCAAACCTGTGGCTTGTTTTAACACATCTCACATACTCTTTAAAAACAAATAACCCGGGCTGCGGACGGAGACAACACTTGTGAGCGAGCGAGAGAGAGCATGAAGCGTGTGTGTGTGTGTGTGTGTGTGTGTGTGTGTGTGTGTGTGTGTGTGTGTGTGTGTGTGTGTGTGTGTGTGTGTGTGTGTGTGTGTGNTGTGTGTGTGTGTGTGTGTGTGTGTGTGTGTGTTGGGATGTTTCTGACTCTGCCTCTCCCTGCAGGTGCTGAGCCCGACATACAAGCAGCGCAATGAGGACTTTAGAAAACTCTTCAAGCAGCTCCCCGACACAGAGAGACTCATTGTGGGTGAGTGGACACACTGGGGCCGTCTGAGGAGCGGCAGGGTGCAACTTCCTCGTTAATCATTAGAAAATGATTCACCGTTGTTCAACAGAGAGGAGACACACACACACAGATTGACATTCCTGGAGTAGTGACATGATTGTAAATGTGTCTAGATTTGTTAATTTACAGTGTAAAAACTAGAATGGCAGATCGATAGAGCACGTACCTCAGCCAAGGCCCAACAGTTCCCCAAGAGAACCACTTTTAAAATCACTACACTCGGATTTTGATTATTTTGATCTGCACCAAATTGCACACGCTCATAAATATTCCCCGCTGTAATGCCTGATTTTCATCATTTATCTTTTCACCCATCACTTAGATAAACAGACAATTACTGATGTTTCTGAAACCCTGTTCAGACCTGTTATTAACATCCATCCTGAGTGATCTGATCACAAGTGGTCAGCTCTAAGTACACGTCTGAACAATCCCAAATGCGTTCCCCGAAGCATCTAGAGATCTTATCACAGTCAGTAGTGGTCTGGGACACATGTGGTCACATTCTTTCATAAATGTATCCTGCTCCACATGTGACAAACTACTCAGCTCATCCTCTGACCCGCTACATTTTCACACTGGATCAAATGTATTTTTACTCTTCTCAGCATCCATACATTGATTTGTCTGTGGCAACGATATCAACACTGACCAACCATAGAATGATTTCTATTCAAATCTTTTTCACAGTAGATCTACAATTCATTTGTTCAGCCCCTACTGACTCCGCTCTTCTGTCTTACTTGTGCCAACACACAGACATAAGCACAAAAACATTGTCATCAGACACATCTGTTGACTCTAAATTTTAATGGAAATCAGTTGAGTAGTTTTTGCATAATCCTGCTAACAACAAACAGACAAAAAGTTCATGGTGGAGGGAACAAATCCCCAGTTTGCAGACACGCTCCTTTGATGATAAACTGTTAACGCGGCCTCACCTACACACTGCTCTCTGCCATGAACACTCAATGTCCCAAATTTAGTTAATTAGTTGTTGCATGACTTTCCCAACCCTCAGATGAATGCTGTCTTTGTCTGAAAAAAGAACTCTGTGGTAAATCTGAGTCTAACCATAGTATGGTTTGGTAATGGAGAATTCACAGCCTATCAACAACACATACACACACAAGTGTTGGAATGCACTGCAGTGAGGTTTGTGTGCCACAGTGAAGCGAGCGCCATCAGCTGAATTGTTAATGTTAATGTCAGGGAGATTGTTTGATTGAATATTAGCAGACTGTTATGTCTGGTGTATGGATGGATGTGCCACTAATGAATAACCTATGTATGTTAATGATGTTTTTGCTCAGTGATGTAATTTGAACATTTGCATATTATTCGTCTCAGACTACTCCTGTGCTCTTCAACGGGACATCCTCCTGCAGGGACGACTCTACCTCTCGGAGAACTGGATTTGTTTTTATAGCAACATCTTCCGCTGGGAAACACTGGTATGTTCGCAAACACTCTGCATTCCTTTGTTTTTCATTTTGGCAACACTGGGTCACATTATTTGTGTGTGTCTATACAATTATATGCATGTGCTTTGTGATTGTGTGTAGCTGACAGTGCGGTTAAAGGACATCTGCTCAATGACGAAAGAGAAGACCGCCCGCCTCATTCCCAACGCCATCCAGGTCTGCACAGACACTGAGAAGGTAAAAGACACAGAATTGCGTTTTCAGTCATAAATTTGGTCGTGAAATTTTCTAGAGTTACCCTTTCACATATGAAGAACGTAGCAGGAGACTTATAAATTCCACAGAAATCATGGAAGAATTCATGAGATTGAATGGGAGGTAAAAGTTTGCATCTGAGTAACTGTGACTAAGATTGAAGACACAAGAGGGCTTGAGGTACAGGGTTAGCTACAAAGGCTAGTTGCTAACAGGAAGAACTGTTGTTTTTTGTTTGTTCTATGGTGAAGTTCATTTAGACATGATTGTCTGTCTTCACAGCACTTTTTCACCTCGTTCGGAGCCAGGGACAGGACGTACATGATGATGTTCAGACTGTGGCAGAATGCACTGCTTGACAAGGTAAGCAAGTCTGATCTGCATCACATGAAGTAGCTTGATGGGACTGAGTTTACTGCAGTGTGTTCCCCTCAGTCCTCTGTCTGATTGTCTGATATGCGTCTGCCTGTTGCAGCCCCTGTGTCCCAAAGAACTGTGGCACTTTGTACATCAGTGCTATGGCAACGAGCTCGGCCTCACCAGCGATGATGAGGACTACGTTCCCCCTGATGACGACTTCAACACCATGGGGTGGGTCTGGTTATGCTGCAGCATCGGTTACCATGGCAACCACGTTAAACCATTTTCCAGTTTCCTAATTAGTCATATTACAAAATAATTGGAGAGCCTGGTAAGACCTGTAACAAGCATACTGACATGATTGGTTCATACAAGTATACACATCTATTTATATAAACAATTACACACAAAAAAAAAACTTCTTAACTCTGTTAATTTACACTTTACGTTTGAGAAGTCAAATTTGCTTCACAGACTATATAGATGCTTCAAAGCTGATGGTGGCTTTGATAATGAGAGTGTATGCACACACATAGTAGGAAAGTAAGATGGTATTATATTCTTCTGTTGTTTCCGACATATATCAGCTTGTTTCAAGAATCGAAAACAGCTCAATTTATAATAAGTTTGTGCTGCTTTCATGTGTGCACCAATCTCAGAGCCCATCAGCGTCTGACAAGTTAGCCTCTGGGGGCAATATTTAGGGGCTTCCGGTGTAGGCAGCAGTTATCCAGGCCAAGACTCTGTCCTCTGTTCGTTGTGCACTGTTACAGTCCGACCAGTTTCTTTTATCACGAGTCAAACGTTTCTCCCCACAAAAGCCAATCGTCAATTCGCTCAATGTGTTCCGTCTCTTTTTCTCTTGTCAACCCGCAGGCAACCAAAGCCTGCTCAAATGTGATTGGTCAAATTTGAAACAAACCAGGAGGCGTCCGTCCACAAAATCTTGACCCTTGCCTACAGATTTTACATTTCCACAGGCACAATCTGTTTATAGAGATCATGTGCACACAGATTCAGATGCACCCAGACTAGCCATATTATTTCCACCAACACTATGGCTAGTCTGATGTTAATAACATATACTAAGCTGATCCATTAATATAAAAACAGGTCAAATAGCACCATAAGAGATATTTTAAGCAGTACTTCAGCAAAGTTTTGCAAGGGCCTCATCCAGATTGAGCGATAAGTAGACAAGTAAAGTTCTTGCCTGTTGCTGTTTTCTGGTGCCTCCAGGTTCAGTGAAGAGATTCCCAATGAAGAGAATGAGATCAACAATGACAGCTTGTCTAAGAGCAGCACCGAGGCCAAACCTGAAGGAAGCCCTCCCCCCATTCCTAAGAAGGTCATCCCTAACAGCACCATCCCCAGCCCAGGCAACCATGACATGCCCATCACAGTAAGCTACACACACATTTACACTGCAGAGGTCAGATGCATTTTGCTTCACAGAATTTATTATGGAAACATTTTTAATGTGATAAGTGTCCGTTTCCCTCTTTCGCCCAGTTCGAACTTCCTGCAGAGGAATATGCAGACTGCTTACCAGACGGTGATCTGCTGGCTTTGCCCCTGGTGGTGGAAGAGAAGAACAACGATACCAGCAGGCCTGGTGGTCCTGTACCCTCCCCCTCACTCGACTTCAACGACAACGAAGACATCCCCACCGAGCTCAGCGACTCCTCAGAAACACACGATGAGGGTAAAATGTATAATTCTAATCCAGCAGGCAGTCTGATTTTTTTATTGACTTCACTGCCAGAAGTCATCACTGTTTCTTATCTGTCATCTTGTCCATCTCTCTCTCTGACGTGTAGGTGAGGTCCAGGCGTTCCATGAGGATCTGAATGGCAGGCAGCACATCAACGAGATCTACAAGTTCAGTGTGGACAAGCTCTATGACATCCTCTTCACCGAGTCACAGTTCATGAGTGACTTCATGGAACAGCGGCGATTTTCAGGTTTGTGTTTGTGATGCTTCTGCAGGTGACCTCTGAAATCTGTCCACTCTGGAGATGACACAGTCATAAACATGTGGTCTACTGCAGTGTTTATTAATTCCTTCATGTCCCTGTCTTGTCATCTTCTCGTTTAGATGTGGTCTACCACCCATGGAAGAAGGAGGAGGCTGGAAACCAGACCAGAGAGATCATGTACACCATCTCTCTGTCCAATCCCCTGGCCCCAAAAACAGCCACAGTCACTGAGACACAGGTACAGTCAGCTCCACTTTTCAGCTGTTTTGAAGTCATGAAATGAAAATGCAAAGTTTGCCTGAACGCATCAGGAGATTATGTGGAGTAGATGGGTAGAGCATGCAGGTGGCAGGACATGACATAAAACACACTGCTTACAATCACATGTTTTTTTTACTGCACACCAGCATCAACTCCATTATCAAAACTCTTGAATCTTGTTCTCTTTCCAAGTTCACATCTTCTTTAGCGCCTCTTTTTCTTATCTTCAGATATTTGTATTCTCCCAATTTCACCTCCGCCATCAGAATTTTTCTGGAAATCGGCTGAATCTGACATTTAACTAGGGGGCTGGCAGGAAAGGTTACAGAAAATATCCAGAGCAGCTGACTCTGACATTTGCATTCCCAGATACAGGAAAATGTCTGGACTTCAGTGCATGTCTGAAAGCTGCTTATAGAAAATTAGAATTATCACTATTATTGTTTATGTATTTAAAAGCTTGATGTGATTTAATGACGCAACATAAATCCCTGTCATTTGTCAGACTCTGTACAAAGCCAGTCAGGAGAGCGAGTGTTACATCATCGATGCTGAGGTCATCACGCATGACGTGCCCTACCACGATTACTTCTACACTCTGAACCGCTACATGCTCACCAGGGTGGCCAAGAATAAGTGTCGGTTACGGTGAGTGATACGTGGTCAGATATGTACAGCACACGCATGGACAATGAGATGTAGCAAAACATCCATTTATTTTTTCGCTATTTCTGAAATCTTCTAATAATTTAATCAATCCAGTTTTTGTATCTATATCAAGGAATGCAATTTTGTCTCTCTCTCAGGATATCAACGGAGCTGCGCTACAGAAAACAGCCGTGGGGGTTGGTGAAAGGCTTCATAGAGAAAAACTTCTGGAGTGGGCTTGAAGAAAACTTCCGCCGTCTTGGTAAATTGTTGTTAGTATTTCTGTTCTGACAGTTATTCTCATTTTCTGATTCCTAAATGTAATTTAATAAAAGGGAGGGTTGGTAAATTGTTTCTGAAACACTTTTTCTTTAATTTGTTTAAACCCTGAAAAGGTCATTTGATTCGGACTGAATGAAATGATTAGTTGGCGTACCTGTCTGTCAACAAACCAGCCTGCGTGTGAAGAGAATTTAAAATAACTGTGTTCCCTCTCTCAGAGTTGGAACTGTCCAAGCTGGAGGAGATTGTGACCGAGACCCACCAGCTGTCTCCGAAGATTAAGGTTGTGAAGAACTCCACGGTGAGGCGGAAGAAGAGGCAGCTACCTCACATGCGCAGCCAGCACCTGGACGAGGCGCTCAGCCCCGTTACCACGCCGACGGACGACGAAGTGATCCAGAGGATCAAACAAGTGGCAGGATCCACACAGACCAGACACCAGAGTCCAGAGCACCATCACCTGCCCGGAGGCCTCGCGCTGTACAGTGTTTCCAAACTGCTGCTCATCATCAGCTTCGTGTATGTGCCAGAAACACACACACACACACACACAGAAGCCTGCATACACTTTTGACACATGCTGACATGACACACAGGGATTCAGACATGCTCGTGTCAAATTGGAATTTCTCTAAGTCCCTTGTTGCATGATTTCATCCATTGTTCCAGTCTACTCTGTGTTGTCTGATTGACGACTGAAAATTAAAGTCTTCATTGTTCTCTTTCCTCTCCTTTCATCGCCATCCATAGGATCTGTTTAAGGTACATGTGTTATCTGATTAGCCAGCATAGCAAGATGCATCTGTTGACTAAGTGTTCCCATTACAATTTAAATGTACTTCCCATTTACATACCGGTCATTGAGGACATTATGATTTAACACGATGCAAAGGGATTGACTCGTTGGCTGTGTTTCCTCAGCTTGGTGCTGCTGGTGTTCCTCAACATGATGCTCTTCTACAAGCTGTGGATGCTGGAGTACTCAGCACAGTCCTTAACAACCTGGCAAGGTCTACGGCTTCATGAAAGGTACACACACAGTTACAGACACACACACACACACACACACACATGCACACTGCCACTGTTAAATACACACTAAACTGTATCCATATGTCAGTTGACATGTCACAGGAAAACAGACCTTCTAAATTTACCCCAAATAGCTCTGGTCTCACTGAAACAATTTACCAAACTGCCTGTTGTCATGCTTCAGTGGGTGCACCCCAATGTTTCTAAGTGTGTGCGTGTGTGTTCCTCAGTAAACTGCCTCAGACGCAGATGGAGTGGGCCCAGCTCCTGGAGGCGCAGCAGCGTTACCATGACACGGAGCTGCAGAAGTGGAGAGAGATTATCAAGTCGTCAGTGGTGCTGCTAGACCAGGTACCGAGACACAAAGACCCCGTTCAGACCTGGTACTATCGTCTGTCCTGAGTGATGCGATCACAAGTGGACAGCTCTTATTGCACATGTCAACACACGCTGGACACATTGAGGAGTCATGTGAGATCGGATCACTCAGACCGTTCTTGTGGGAATGAATGTGTGAATGCAAATGTGACTTGGGCCACACTGAAGGACCGCCTACAAAACTGACATCCTCTGACCCACTTCAGTTTCATACACAACAGAAAAATCCCTTTTCACCGCTCAGTGTTTGTCATACATTGATTTATTCATGTTTATGTGGGTTTGTAAATGAATGGTACTGTCTCGCTCAACAAAAAGTCTCACTCTCAAACGTGCAGCAGCTCGTTTGTCCCTCCTCTGCTTGTTACGTCTTTCTCTCTCTCTCTCTCTCTCTCTCTCTCGTTTTCTCTTTTGTAGGAGCTCTTCATCCTCATACTCTGGTTCAAACAAGTAGGGCCAGCCATTAAAGTCAGATGTTTAGACATTATCCACATAAGAAAAAGATTTAGCCAATTTTCTTTCAGTGAAATCCAAACTCCTCTCTCCAACTCTCTCACTCTTTCTAACTTTTCTCTTCATGCACAAGACTTGAAAATACGACTTTTCATTGAGTGAGACATGTGATGTTGCCAGAATCCTAGGAAAAACACACAATAACTATTTCGGCCTCCAAATGCATCAATCGCGTCTGACGCTCGAGTTGAAATATTTGAACTCATGTTGTGTCAGCCAATCAGTGCTGAGAATGAAACTCATCAGACTCAGTCCTCACACTGACCCGAGCAAGGGGTGATCAAACCGGACACTGGTTGGCCTCAGGTAGCGTTGGAAAAGAATCCAGACACAGCTCCTGAAGCAGCCGGTGAAAGTCCCCTGCTCCTCTGGTTGGGTTTGCGGACCCACACTCAATGGCGCTGGCTTCTCTGCACCGCAGCAGTTGTAGTTACTTCAGCAAGTACTTCTCCTCTTCTGCTGGCTTCCCTCAGTGTTTCCACTACATGTACAACGCAACAACTGTCGTCGCTTCAGCCAGTTGTCCTCCTCTCTTCTGGAGAACAGGCGAATACTCCCCGGTTATGTTTATTCATGCTTAACGAGTGTTACGCACAATTAACACACAAATTACCCTGCTGCGCGAATAGTGCGTTTAGATGTGAACACACCATAAGATTACTTTGTGGCAGAGGAGATCTACTGAATTCTTTCCAAAAGTACCATTCATTTACACAGTGGCATTTATAAATAGGTTGTCAAGTACCAGAATTCCCCTTTAAGGAGAGCTGTTAAAAAACTGTCCAACATGGAATCTAAAAAACAATGACCACCACTTCCAGGCGAAAGCCCAATGGCAGCTCTGCATCACCTGGGGAACATCATGTATTTCATTATCTTAAAGGAAGTGGAAGATGAGTTTCTTGTTCCATGCATTATTGTTGGTCAGTGTAAATTGACTGTCTTCAATAAACACATTGTTGTTTCTTCTTGTTTCTCCTCTTTAGATGAAAGACTCTTTATTGAACCTCCAGAGAGGCATTGGTTTAAGTGACTACAGTGCCGAGGCTGAGGAGAAGAGAAGTCGTTACCACTAACACACCACCATAAGGCCATGAGGGCGTGCTGTGCAATATAGGACCTGTTTTGTTTGTGAACCAGTATGCAGGCAGCAGCGAGTCGGAGCGAGGAGCGGGACCAACGGTGAGCTGGTCCAACAGAGACAACGAGAGGAACAGAGGGTAACCAGCAAACAGACGGGTAAAACCCCCTGAGGAGGAAGTCATTGACAGAAAGTGCCCCTATCACACACAGGAACTGAGGTGTCCCCAACATCACTGAGGCATTGTGGGAGGGTGTGAGTCTTGCACCTTCTCTAAACTCATGGGATAACCGTTTTCTTTTACTCTCTTTATGTCCAAGTGCACCCTACTGTAAGCCATGTCGACCAGGAGAGTGGCAGAGAGGATGAAGGAAAACTACTGCATGCATTTAGACAACCTAGCTCTCCTCAGTCAGTGTTGATGTGGTCCAGTTCCAGTCTATGTGTGTCAAAAAAGAAGAACAGAAGAAGATGAGAGATCAAGTCAAAGGAGAGGGGGGTCCTTTCGAGTCTTAATGGCTTTCTACACTCTCTCGACTGTTCCAAACCAATCGTCCCCAAGAGGGCCTCGCTGCAGCGTCCCTTTAATAAACCTCCAGCCAATCAGAGTGCAGTATTGCCCCACAACTGAAGAGAAAAGGAAATATTGTAGCTGGAGGCTCGTTGTCTGCTCAGGGCTGGTTCCCTGTCAGAGCGCTGTGGTGAAATATTTAAAGGTAAAATCTAGAGCTTGAGACCTAAACCAGTATTTTTACCTTCATACACAGTTCACACCATCAGTTGCCCCTGCCTCAGTGTTCGATACCATACACTATATTATTTCTCATCTTTCTAATAAAGTCGAATGTATTATGTAGCCTGAACAAAGGGCCGGAGTTATTCTTCTTTGAAAAAGGGATGCTGCAGCCAGACCAGTAGGGAGACCTGTGTTCTTACTTGTTTTATTACTAAACTGTGACTATATCTCTTGAAAAATGTTTCAGTTAGAAAGAATTCTATGAATATATTTGAAATATATAAGAATATTTCATTATTTAATATATATATTTCAGAATATATAAACATTACCTATATTTATTGTTAATTTATGTACATAAAGAAATTATCAGATCTCTAGAACAGTTAAAGAATTTCTAACAAAAAGTGTTTTCTTCTAAAAATGCATGCCAGATATGTCTGTGACATGTCCAGTGTGCAAGAATGATTCTGCATTTGCGCGATTATATTCGCGCATGTGTGTGTGTGTGTGTGTGAATGTGTGTATGTGTGTGTGAGTGAGTGAGTGTGTGCTGTAAAGTTTGACATTTTTACCATACAACACTTGTATGTTTCTTAATTTGTTTTCTTTTCTGGCTCCTGCAGCCAGACTGCCTTTTTTTAATGCTAATGCATTTGTATGCTGCCTTGCATTAGCCCCACCAGGGTACAGTTTACAACTGAAGAGTTTTGTTCCAAAATGACGTATCCAGCATTAGAAAAAAAGAAAATATACATATATATTTACATCTACGTGTCCAAAGTGATTGATGTCACTTTTTGACGCATGCTAATTAGCTTAAATCCATGTTTGACAAAAGAAAGAAAGAACCAAGAAGACAGACTAGATCCACTTAATATTGAATATTGAATGAACTTGAACTTGATGATTTTTCTCTTGTAAATGGATATATAACATTTTGGAGATGAACCCTTCATCTTCCCTCTGTGAGCAACTCTTGATCCATGTCACCACTTCGTGGCTTGACAACTCTTTGCTAAAAAAAAAAAACATTTGACAATTTGAGAAATACATTTGTTTGCTTCTGCTTATATAGCAAGTTGGTTTCCAGTGTTTGCTAGCTTAATGTTTCTTCCATCGCTAAAATTTCCGATAAGAATGCTGACATCTTGCACATTTGGAGCCAGAATCTGTGCAGTAACATTCGACAGATGGTGCTGCGGTTTAAGGTCACCTTGTTTTTATAGCATCAAATTGCTAATTAAAACCAAACTTACCAGAAAAATGAACAATATATTATATACAGGTGTGACAGAAACTGTATTTGAGAAAAATGTGTTCTACGTTTTAGTTTGGCCCATGTCCCATTCACTAACATGGAGGAGGCCAGCTTTATGACCAATACCACAGCCAGCCACCAGGTGGATATGATATGTGTGCTATCAAAACTCTCAGCAAGAAAGCAAACAAGTATATTTTTCAAAATGTTAAAGTATTCTTTTTAAAACACCTTATTCAACCCAAATTATACTCTCCCTTCCCCATTTCAAGTGTCTGTCTTGGATGCAATGAAAGCATGAGAATTAAACGCATTTGAACTGAACCAAAAGAGAGAAGTAGAAATGTACCTTCACGAATATTCACGTTGTTTTGAATAAAGTATTTATCATGTATGTCATGTATTATATACAGGATGAGGTGTGGTAAAGAGCATCTTTTAAAGAGTTTGTCAACAGAGACCCCCTTACATAGCTGACAGACTTCAGCGATGATAAGCTCTTCCAAATTGAGAAAAACTTCCTTGTGTAAAGTAAAAAAGAGAAAGTGAAGCACTTTAAGGCCTTTTCAGGTAGAGAATTAAAACAGAAGTGTCAGTGGTTTAGTTTGGAGGTGAATGCAGGACTTGGGAAATACTTTTATTGGTGTGTTTCAAGAGATGTAACAACCACACTGGTGATTTTTTAACTTCCAATCTCATTAGAAATAGCTGGATTTTGATCCCGCTGGTTGTTACTGCTCAAAATTTACATTTGCCTAAATAGAAGATTATTGAGGTGATTAGATGTGAATCTTCCCAAACACATCCCAAACAAAGCAACTCCAAAATGAAGTCTGACATACTTTCATGTCTATTTCAGGGCCAGGGAAGAATGAGTGACTTGTATAAGGGAATATATATCTTTACTGTGTGCCTGCGCGGCGTGTTACCAAACCACTCAGTGAAAACAGCAGACAAGCTTCAGGATGGAACCCCTGCTGTTTTTGTGTGTGTTACATTCGCAGAAGGCAGAGTAATGATAACACATGAAAACCTTAAGAACTGAATGTGAGCGGTTGGAAAAGTTTTCTGTTTTATAGAAATCACTTTCACAATCCTGACGACACTGAACGATTAGAGTGAAGTTCTGCTTCATGTATCTGATGGTACAGAGATGTGTATATGAAAATGTGATTGAAATGCTTTAAAGTTTGTTTGTTTTTTAAAGTATGAGGAAGTTTTTTTCCAGCTGCTTGAATCACAATGTTGGGGTTTTTTTGTCTAAAAAATTCAAACATTCTCAACAGTAGGAGGAGAAATTGTAAATGTTTAAGTTGGATTTGTTACCCAGCTTCTGTTTGATACCTTTGATCTTAGTCTTGGAGCAACTGTGTTGTTTTGACAAGGCTGAGTGAAAGGGTTCGTAGTGACAGACACATTTTAACACTGAACTGCTGTAAACGCACATCCTCCTCAGTCCAAATTAAATATGCACTCCAATAAACTCACAGCAGACCTGAATCTGATTTCATCAATACTGCAAGTATGCAACTGAAGCTTTTTTTTTTTGGTTATATTCATTGTCCCCTTAAAAACCTCCATGATTGTCCTTGTTACCGTTGACTGTGTATAAAGATGGATGACACTGGGGGTAACTGGGGAAACTGGGGGTAGTTGAATACATAGCAAACTGGTTCCCTTTGTTTCTACTTTGTATGCTAGTAAGCTAAATGTGTATATACACATGGGCAATGCATTCCTGTTCCTCCCACTGTCCAGAAATGAAGCCAAAATATCCCAGACATGAACGCCACCATCTTGTGCATTTGGAGCTAGACTCTTGCGAATTGTGAGTCTGTCTCAACTGTCAATTATAACGTTTCACCTTGTTTTTATAGCATCAAATAACAAATCTAAACAAACTGTAGTGGAATAATGAACACTTGAACAAATATCAGTGCGATAACAACTACCCATAATTACAGAAACCATTTTTATTTGACGAGTACTTGACTTTCTAGTTTGGTCCATGCCCCATCCACTAACATGGAGGAGTCTGGGTTTATGACCTCTACTGCAGCCAGCCACCAGGGGGCGATGGAGACATTTTGGCTTCACTTTTGGGGAACAGTCATGTTGTCCGTCTTTATTTACAGTTTGTTTGTTACCAGCAAATTTGAATTTCCCACTTTATTTTCTATGTGCACGGCAATCTGTGTGTTGATGACTGTATGATCACTGTACAGCTGTGGGACAGAGGTGAGCCAAGAGTTCTGGATGCCCCTGTTTTATCACTGACGACTAATGAATTCTGTGCTTCATTACTGTTGTAACTGACAGTAGCCTCGCCATCACAGAGTCGGCGAGACAGTAGCGCCCCCTGCACAACAACAATACTAACTAACAGCCTCGGCCATCACACAATAGGAAAACACATCCATCCTCCTGAAAACGACCACTGATCAAAGTCAAATGCTCCTCTTCAAGTGTGGCTTGATAAAAATATGTACTGGTGTAGTTCTGTTCAATAAGAATTCTACTGTATGTTCTTTTTTTTTAGAAAATGTTTTGATCTCTAGAGAGACTTTTAGTGAACTTTATACATGAGATGAATATACTGTACGTATATGTTATGTATATCTGCAGTGTACACACACACACAGACAAACACACTCGCACACAAACACACTGACATAAGAATCAAGCCTGCGCTGCGCGTAGGTTCTGACCTGCCGATGACTTTGCCTCATAGAGAATGAAGATAAAAGTGGCTTTCTGGTTCATGTGAAGTAGAGACTGGAAGTATGAATAAAAAATATTGAACAAATCCTCTTAATGTTTTTAGAGTGATCTGAAGTTTATTCCAAAAAACGCTGCTTTTGCACTTGATTTTTTACTTGTTTTGTATTTATTATAAAAGCAGGCATTTGCATTTCAAGAAATCATATGTGGTTCTTGTATTTTCCTAACAGGAAGTAGGGTTCTCCTTCAGGAGCCGTGCAGCACATGTGACCTCACGAGACTTTACAGTGGAGTAGCACAGGAGAAGCTTGCATGAGGTATCGTGATAAAATATTAATTTGTGGCGGCACTTTAACAAATAATAAAATAAAGATGAGGAAATATTGATGTTGCATATTAAAGCATTGTTATTTATATTTTACGTATAGTACAAGCTTCTCATTGTCGGCTGTACGTTCAGAGAAGTCTGCCCATAGGACTCCTGTGGTTCTTTGCTGTCTGACTTTAATTATTATTCATTGTCACTTTCTCTTTTACAAACGAACCAGATGAAAACCACATTTTGCAGAACATACTTTGCAGAACATTTATTTATACTCCACTTATTTAAATGATGCATCACACAGTCTCATTAATGCATATACTGTACTTAAAGGCAAAATAATGTTGCACCATGTGTCTTCAGGGATTTGGGTCCTGTCTTATTGTTGGATCCATTTTTCAGCTTTCCTCACCAGTCCATCCTGGTTACTGTTGTGTTGTAATTCTCTCCCTGCAGCTACATGGTTCCAGGCTAATCAAATATCAGTCTTTAGCTATAAACAGTCACAACCGTCTCCTGAAGTGGTCCATTACGATGAGTGAGGATGGGTGAGGTCGACACGTCACCGCAATGAATCAAGGGGGCGGGGCAGCGTTAAGGCGCAGCGCCCTGTTGGCTTCTCACATCCAATGAAGGCTGAGATTGAATTTGTGGAGGGGAGGATCACTCCCCACTTTCCGTACGTGCGCGCGCGCGCGTGTGTGTGTGTGCGTGCGTGCCTGGTCGCAGAGGGCGGAGCTCCTCTCCTGCGTTTGACAGCTGAGAAGCAGAAAATGTATAGCGCATTGAGGGAAGCTCTGGGAAACCACGCTGCTCCAAGGCTACAGTCCCACCGCCAGGAACGGGATGCAGCATGGCACCTTTATAGGCTGAGGATGCCCTCGTAAATCTGAGCCACCTGGACAACACTGAACACAAATTACAGGGAATAACAAGACTTTGTGCAGATAACCCCTGGGATTTGTGTGGAGGGGGGCATGCACCGTGCGTTCTCCTTCCCGGTGACTGTGGAGCGCAGCCGGACCAAGGAGCGCCTGGAGGCGAGTCTGGCCGGGCTGTGCGAGCTGGAGCTCCGCAAGCGGAGGCAGGAGTGTCTGGTACTGGGGGCGCTGGCTCTGGGGCAGCCGCCGGCCCGGGACAGCTCCAGAGGAGAGCTGGCATGCTTCAGCAGCTGGGGGCAGGAGAACTTGACACTGAGGCGTCAGCTGGTAAGAAGGTCCATGTCATGAGCGCATTTTTCAATCGCATACTGCTTGTTTGGATTCTCACCATTGCACCCCACCCTGTGTCTGAACCCCACTTTACCTCTGGCATGCACCGTGGCCCTATGCATGTTTCCCTAACAGCGCATATCCTCATTGTAATCCGCTTGACTATTGCATGGACTCCTGGTTTGCGCTGCGCCTTTTGTGCAGAGGTGACCTCTCTCTGCAAAAAAAGTAACTCAACTTGATTAATAGCGCGTCTCTGTGCGCCAGGCAGAGATTTACGCCTGTGGGGGGACGAAATCAAGGGGTGGAGCAGCCACCGCTTGTGGCACAGACCCACTATTTAATGGCCCATTGTTCCCTCATCATGGACTTCTGTGGCTTTTACTACTTAACAAGCTCGTATTTGTGCTCTGCGCACATCGTAAAAAGGAGTGAATGACTACTTCGTCTTGTATGTTGCTGTTGTAGTGAAGATTTGATGTCATGACCATGATTATCTTGGCTTTTCTCAGTTGGACAAATGTGTGACGCGGAGGTGCCACATTAACATGAGAATGAAAAGTAGGTTAATCCAAGATAAATACAGTTTTTGTTGTGACAGGATATAATGAATAATACACTAGCAGCTCCCGCATTAAGTTTTACGCACCACTGAACAAACCAGAAACTCTTATTGTTATTTGGTCTAATTTTATTTTCTTAACGCTGTATTGTTTTAATTGTGTGGGAGTTTTGTTTTTCTTTGGTTGATATTGAGCAAACTGTCCCAACATGGCCACAATAGGAAGCTTTTATTAAAGAGGGTGAAAAAGAAATTAAATCAGCCGCCTCCTCCTCACCCTTCTTCCCCCCCTCCCTCCCTCTTCCTGCGCCGGGGGCCTAACAATAGGCGCATATGGAGCAGAATACTAATGATGCCAACCGAGGCCCCTGTGAGGAGGAGAAGGCGCATAGGTGGCCCTGCACCCTGCATGGCGTCATTGGGGTACATGTGGTGAGATGTGGGCACTGAGCTTCATCTTTGTCTCACATCTGCTCCTGATGTGGCCTGGATTCATGAGAACTGATGACGATTGAGCTGCCTATAGGAAGCCAATTTGAGAGGAATTCGCGCAGGTCAAGTGTTTCCAATGAGCCAGGCGCACCAGTCTTGCTTCAGTATTCCCTGGTGGAGTTGGTGGAGCTGTCAACGCTTTTCACTCTGACTCCTCATTCACACACACACACTGGAAACAGCAATTTTCGAGGGCAGTGAAGGAGTGACACGCGTTTCCCCCACAGGGCTGCGTATTTTCCCTTTTTCCATTTCGTGCACAACGCGTCCTTGGATCGATGTTTATTAACTGTTCTGCCCATTCACCCTTGTGAGTAATTACACGCTGTGGAAATTCCTCAGAGAATATTATTTGCTTGCTCTAATGGAAGTCTCAAATTGAGTCTTCATAATACCATCTGATCCCTCTCATCACATCCTGCATGTAGGCTAAAGTCTGCAAGATGTATAAGTTCAAGGCTGTGACACAGAAACAGCTGACCCGTGAGACTACCACTGTGTGTGTGTGTGTGTGTGTGTGTGTGTGTGTGTGTGTGTGTGTGTGTGTGTGT